TGACCCTACTGAAAATAACAGAATCTGCCTCCAATGGAAGAAAATACGATATACCCAGATATGCTTTTAGTAGCAGGAAAATCATGTCTGTGGCGTGGCCTTTAGCTGCGTGATTTTCTAGAAAATGTTTAAGCTTGTTGCTTTTCTCAGGAAAATTGTTTAGGTCATGATTGGAACCAGTATCATTTCAGTTTCAAGGAACTTTGTTGTATACAGTTTGTAAAAAACCCCAAATATTTGATCATTTGATTTTGCTTTTACAGTTTAAAAATCCTTTAACATATGCAGCTGAATACTCTTTTTTTTTTTTTTTTTTCCAAACAAAGTGAAGACCAACTGAAATATTGCCAGAAAGACACTAAACACATTTACGTTTAGAGGACCGCTTCCCCACCACAGCCACTGGCTGTAAACACGCTACCTCCTCCTCTTTCCAATGCTCATGGGAATTTAAGAAAGCAACTAAACCCTTTTTTTTCCTAGCCAAGCCCAAGTCAGAAATGTATCACTTCAGACTCATAATACATCCCAGGAAAGCATACTGATAAAGGAAATTCTTCCCCCTTGGACAAAGAGAAGGTCTTGTTGGGTGGCCGCAGGCTCTTCTGCAGCCCATGAGCGGGTCCCGGGGTACCGGCACCTTCGCCCCGCACCGAGGAGCAGGGGATTTTCACACCCCTTACCTGTCGGTGGCAGTCTCTTCAGGTCACACAAGCAGGTATTTAACTGAAATGCCTGGGAAGAGGAAGAAGAGGTCTACCTGGCCAGGGTCTACGGGCACGAGGAAGGTTACGGCGAGGCTCTGCGCATCAATTTTCCTTTCATCCCAGGCAATCACGTATCCTCAGCTGAACAGAAATAGGCCTTCCATATTTCTCCTCCTTGAATATTATTGCAGCCACGCTGAAACATCAAAAATCAGTACATTACAAAATACATTTGCTTTCTTACTACACTAGTTACACGAGAGCACATTCAGCTTGGTAAAACAAAACCAGTTTGCAAATAGATAGGCAGCTCCAATAGACAGTCTGCTCCTCGAAATTGCCAGCAGCTCTAGGACCAAACCAGAAAGGTTTTCCTTCCTTCCTTGATAGCCATTCGATCTAATTTGCCCTCAAAAACGCCAGTCTGCAGAGTTTTGAAAACGCTGGTTTTATTCAGTCTACAGAGAATACCTTATTTCTTTTCATAATCTCAAATTCACCATAAACAGAAATAAAAAGCTTCATATACAAACTTACCCTTTTGAGCCTGATGTGAACTGATTATTTCAAGATACCGCAAGAAGACAGACTATGTAGTATTGCAATATTCTGCAGTCTTAATTGAATGTTTGATTAAGTGTAAGTTGTATCAACAGTGGACAATTCAAAACTTGAGGGAAACAGGTTTTATACTTTAAAGGTAAGACGTAGTGTGACTTGTTTGCAGGTAGCACGGCTGAGAGAGCCCATCACCGAAACACACACTGTTCCACAGCCCGGGCCAAGTGACTGCTTTGCTGGAGTCTTAACTTCAAAGCACAGAAGTTTCACAAATCGGCTAGAAATCAAGGGCTGAAATAGGAAGAAATGGGCATTAAAGCCTTCTCGCATTTGTATATAGTCTTCACCTCCTGCCATCGCACAGACATGCATGAAAAATAAATTAAATAAAGATCCAAACCTCTCGGTGACTCCACCCGGCGTGCCCAGCACACCCTGGACGGGCTGGCGGGCCCCCGCGGCACAGGGGACACTGGCCAGGGCAAGGACAGGGGGAGCAGGAGGGGGGGGAGGAGCGGTGCTGCCCCCTGCCATGGGCATCGCACGGGGGGGCTGCACCCCGCTGTACCTGCCAAGTCTGAGCAGGAGGTCTCCGGGGGGATCACAAGGGCCCAGGTCAAGGCGATCGCTAACCTTGCCAGCAAGGAGGAGCTGTGCTTAACCCCCAACAAATTGAAGGCAAGACAAAGCCTGGGTTAATCCGTGTTATTTCACAGGAGGTGCTAGGAGGTATGTGTCGGAATTCCCAAGAACCGAGAGACGCTGATCGGAGACCTATAAACCGACAGCCACCGGCAGACCATACGACTGCTTTATGGGAGACAAGCTATGCAGCAGAACTATTTCTATGAACTACTGTTAGATTATTACAGCATTTTCAACAATTTAGCGTCAGGCAGACTCACAGCACAGACCTCATCCTTTCTGCTCACCGACACTCCTCCTCCCCGACCCCGGCACACACCCGCAGCCTCAGCTCATCCATTGGGGGCTGTTTCCTTCAACACAATCACAGCTCCCACCAACTTCCAATTCTCTCATAGCAGTAATAGAAAATTAGCACTGGATTCATTTCTCTCGCTCTGTTTCCGCAGTGCCCCCAGCTTTCAGACCAAGGTGAGGTTTTGATGCATAGTTATGACAAACCTTTCAGGAGGAGGAAGATAATCACACGCCACCTGGGTTACTGCACAATTCAATTTACTTTGCAGCATGCTTTATGCTGGGTCTGTAGCTATTAAAGGGAGAGAGTTTCCAGTCGAGGAGTGTGCAGCACCCCAGGGCCGAATTGCTTTCGGGGCATTCCCCAGCACCTGCGAGCCCCAGAAGAGCATCCCCAGGCTGTGCCCTGGACCGTCCTCCCCGGCAGCCCTCTCCCCACCTCTCAGGTGAACAAAGACAGGGTCAGCTTGCAGGGATGTAGTATTTGATACTAGTTCATCTTTGTTGCACAAACTCCAGCCCACTTGTAAACACACCAAACCTTTTTCTCTCCGCTCCTCAGGGAGAACCGCCCCTTTGCTTCTCCCTGCCTGCCCTGAATCTGTCTCCAGACTGACCCAGGACGGGAGAGAATTTAGGAGAATAGGAGCCTCAGGCAAAGAAATAGGGAGGAAACTCCCACTTAGTTTTTTAAATCAGGACAACCGTCTTCCTTAAAATCAGCTGCATCATTCCTCCAGAAAATGGTTTTCAGCCTGTGGCAACCAGTGCATAATTTTTCCAAGCCACCCTAGAAAGACAGCACACTCAGACAGACATAAGTATCCAGGTGTGTTGCAAGACAACCAGAAACAAAGATGCTTAGAGCATGAGATAAAGACGAGAAAGTAAGGAAACAGCTCTTAAGGTAAGTCACTCCTGCTGGAAAGTCCCACATCACAGCCGGCGATGGCGTCCCCACCTGGGAAGCTGCAACGCCGTGATCTCCCTGCCCTGAACAGGCGGCTGCTCCCGTCGCAACAACGCAGGCTGACCTTTCCGGGGCTGGGGGGAAAGTTATAAAATTAGCAGGATTACCATCTAAAGCAGAGATCCAATCTAGAAAGAGGCCTGTTATCTGAGCAGTTTCATTCACAGATAAATATATAGCTCTCAGATAGAGGTTTCCCACACCACAGCCAAGAACACATGGAACACCTGCATTCACTCTTAAATAGATATTAACCAGAAAGTTATATTTAGCTTAAACTGAAAATTAGAGTGCATCATATCTGTAATGTTATTACAGAACATTTTCTTGAACAAAGTCAAAGAAAATATAATCCCCATTTATAAGGGGCCAGTTACAGTTTAAATATGATTTCTTAAATTATTTTTGGTTTGGTTTTTTGGTGGTCGTGGGGTTTTTTTGGGGGTTTTTTTGGTGTTTTTTTTTTTGGTTTTTTTTTTTTTTTTTTTTTTTTTTTAGAAACAGATGAAACATAGTAAACACTCTAAAGTGACAGCAAAAGGACTATCACTGAAGCTTTGCTGGTGATTTAGGAATTAAACCTAGAGACTACTTTCCAGGAGAGTTATTGCTCCCTCCCCACCCCAGTTTTGTGTTTAAATTTAAAGACAAAGTAGAAAAATGTGTCTTGACAATTCCTCCAATGTTACAAACTTCTTCAATAATAGGTAAATATAACATTCCTTTGTGTAGGATATGTAGTTCTCTGAGAATTTAAAACCTCTCTGAACTGGCACCAGCAAACTTGTTCAGCTAACATTTACACTTGCTTTAGCACAGAACTTACAACCATTCATTGCAAGGGGAAAAGAAACCAAGCCAGCAACACCAAATAATTTGCTTACCATTAGTTACCGTAGGCATTTTTATTACATTAAAGCTTTAACATTTATCAGAATACTGGGTCAGGGAAAAGCAAGAGGGAGAATAACTTAAAAAAATAATAAAAAGCAGCCTTGCTGGGAACTAATGTTTAGAAAAATTAACCAACAGCAGAGTAGGAGCTTCCTGAAATAAGTGTTGTAGCATTTAAGTTATCTACAGGCCATGACAAATCCTGGTAGTCTTACAAAAATTTTCAGTATTGTTGAACAGTCTTTCAAAGTGAACATCATGAGAAAAAACAAGCAAGCATTTTTTATTTCTCAAAAATCTCCAGAACCATGACCTTCCAGAAAACATCTTACTATGACTTCTCAGATTCTCAAACCTTGCAAAGGACAAGGACAACTCTTCCTGTAAAAAGGCACACACCGTTCCAGAATTCAATTTTGCACAGAAGACAATCAGTTGTCAAAGACTATGCCAAAATCCCAAAGTTTAAATGATTATGTTTCAAGAAAAAGTAGGTTTTTTACTACTGATTACTTCTTGCTATCAAGCATAACCCAGACAATCTCATTCAAGAATTACCCAATAGACTGATCATTAGAAAGTGTGTTGTGGAGGGATTCCCCACATCCTTGTCATGTTTATTATCCCCTCCCTAGCCACCTACATCTGGCCAAGGGACATCCAAGTAGCCCAACATGACAATTGTATCTTAGTATCCAAAAAGGAAGTTTTAATTGATAAAGCAGTAGTGGTAAATAAATAAAGCCACAGTTACTACATTATTCATCCCCAACTCCCACACTACTAGTGGTCACAGTCTGAAAAACCTTTGCTGACCATAATTAAAAGAAAAATAGGGATATACATAGAACCAGCTGTCTTAGACAGCATTTTTATTAAAAATGGATACACAGAGACATAGCAGCATTTACAATAAAGAGTTTTAAAAAGGCATCAAGTTGTAAGCCAACCATTTGAAAAAGAGGCTTTGAAATGTTGTCTTCCGCAGCACTTTTTGCCCATTTCTCCACAGGGGACAGCGTGACTGCAGATTATCCAAAGGACAAACCAGCACAGAACTAATCTAAACTTCAAGCCCTTTTCCGGAACGGTTGGTCACATCAAGCATCACCCTCCGTAGCAGCATTTGGAGCACTCTTCGGTGTTCTTTTAAGTGGCTGGTGTACTTGATCCATTTCTTTAAAATATTTTAATGTTCAATAAAAATATTTCAAATAGAAAATTTTTTCTGTCATGAAAAAAGTAAGGTTTCCTTTTCAGATTCCATAAAAGCTTATGAACTTCACTGGCAGCATTTCCATAATGGAGCAGGAGTTAGAACCAGCAGAACAGGCACTTCAGCAAAATTGTCTGTCAACAGTTTCTAAAGTCATATTGGCTTCACTCCAGAAGACTGTTTCTTACTACTTTGTGGTGGTGTAAGGACACCAGTGGGGAAAGGTGAAGTCCTATTTTGCTCAGCCAATATGGCTTGTTTTGCTTGAGCTTTGTCCTGAAAGCACAGAAAAAGGAGGAAGAAAAAAAAAAATAAAAATAGATCTTTACTTTGGTATATCTATGCAACAGATCAATATAATTCAGTGTTTAATAACTTGATAGATTGCTAATCTGGAAATGCGTATCTGTATCCAACCCCCCCTAACCGTAACTGATAAATCATGCAATAGTTAGTGAATACAAACCCCAACTTTTGGAAGTAATACTTTTTGAGTATTAACTTTTGGAATCTGATGATCAGCATTGTGGTAATTGTATCTTCAAGAAAGCAAAATTCAGAAGCAACGGAACAGGAAGAGATTTAACTTCTACCACAACTAAATAACTTCAGTAGGGGAAAAAAAAACCAAACTCCAATAGTTTAGATTAACTACAATTTGTTGGACAAGATTTTGATCTTCTGCAGGTTTCTCATGCTAAAAACCACTCTTGCTCAACTTCTTGTCAACCACTGTCACATAACAGTCCCACAAGATCAGTCTATTTTCTCTTTTTCATCAGACAAGGTTGTATTACCTGTATTTCCTATAGAGAAAGGTCTAACAAAATATTTGAAGCATTTCAAAGGGCAGAAATATGCTTCCAATTTCTAGAATGATTATTTGCCATTTGAGATGAGAGGCTTAAGTTACAATCACCTTTTTAAACTAAATACGGAACAGCTCTCTGTCCCAAGAATTTTGCAGCCAGAGTACAACCGTATGCCTTTTATCCTCTGCATGCACTCAGTCTAAATCTGATCATGCGTCACTCAAGTTTACTGTTTGTTCTAACCAAAGAAGAAACAAGAGGTAGGAAATTTGACAGACAGCTTTTGTCTTCATTATGCATATACATACCAGCAAATCCAAGCTGTTTATGTGTGTCTGTATATTGTGCAAGTCTTCAGGAGCTATACCTCTGAAGTGTTTGAGTTTGGAGCTTCCTACTTCCCTTATTGCCATCGCAAATGGAACCATCCATTTTACACATTCCTCTATCTCACACCATTTATAACCTGGAAGACAAGACATATGCTTTTCTGCCTGAATGAAGGCTTAATGTTTATAAACTCATTAGACTTAGTTTATAAATGCCAATACCTGAAACTTTCTGCATCAACTCAGATGAGGAGAAGTGATACAAAGCAGAAGCTGCAAGCACTCCATACGTATATTCCAAGCAGCCAATATCCAGCACACAGAGATCTAAGAGCTACAACACAGATGTTTGATAAGTCTATCACAAGAATACTTTTTTCCCCAGGGGAAACAGCATTTGAAGGAAGAAATCAGTCTTACCTCTGCTATTTGTACAAATATTTGCTGTGGATATTGTGGCAGCAATACCTCATAAAGCTCATTTAAATACGCAACTTGCATGTAAATGTTTAGCCATGATACAACTGTCAGAGGATTTAAGTTCCAGTTAAGAGCCTGAAAGAGTAGACATGCACAAGATTCTAGTATTAATAAAGAGTTCCTAACTTAAACCATGCAACTTTATTTACTCCAGATCAAAAGCTGTAATTCCAGTTCATCAAGGCATCTTCGAAACACACAAATCTAATCACCTCCTGTACCTCCTCCTGCTGATAGGGTGGGGGAATGATTCATTTTGTTAGTATGCACATACTGGTGGATGCTTTAGATCATGCTTTACCTGAAGAACACTGTTTTCTAACTAGAAAAAGAAATTGCCTCTTAGGAGCACATAACACTGAGGTGCTCTGCTTTTATTCTGATTATGCTACACATTTTTAAAAACTAAATTAGAACTAAATCCACTTTGAAATATTACCTTCATAATGATCAATTCCATACTGAGGATTTCATCTTCTGTACAAGCTCCATCTGTAACATAGGCAAACTGGTGCAACTTTGGTGGATAGATTTCCTGAAAGATAGGAGATTAAGTATTAATTTGTGGAATAGGTTGTAACTAGCCTCATGTGATTAAGAGTGAAAAAAAAAAAAGAACAACTCACCACTACTTCAGCATTTCAAAACAGAGGGAAAGAAAGAACCAACCCCCCATCCTAACTCGTGGTGTTCTACTCCGCCTTTAATATACACAGATTTCTTGTTACTGCTGATAGCCTTCACCTTTCACTTCTGATGGATCAGTACAACATGCATTATGTTTGACTACAGCACCACTGAGATTGTATCATAATTGACATCAAGATCTTTTCATACGTGCTAAAGAAAAAGCCTTTTATCCCTTGCTTGAGAAGAACAGAATGAAGAATAATAGACCTCTTAAAAGACAAACAGTAAGAACTTAAAAAGCACTATGTATTTTAATAGTCCAATTTGTTCCACTAACTATGGAATAACTCAGACTATCATCCAGTAGGTACTCCACTGACAGAACTGCAACAAGTGGTCTCTGTATACAAACAGCCAGCCAAAAACTCATTTAGCAACTCCAATTAAAAACTTTAGATTTATTCTAATGCTGAAAATACAATCCTTTTAAGATTAAAAAGACATACTATGATGTTAGTCTTAATTTTAGCAACTACTAAAAAAGAGGAATTTTGAAAAGAAATAAAAGGATAATTTTTTTTTTCTATCTCACAGCTGAAAAGTCATAGCAACGAACTCCATAAAGCCTGCCAGAATGCATCTAGTGTACAATAAGTGTGCTGTCTGTCCATTCACATTTTTATGTTTAAGTAAAGCTGGAAATACTTACCTCAAGCTTTGCTGCTATGAATAAAGAAGATATACCGATAAGCTGCAATAGTGTTTTTACAACGTCCTGTTGTGTTGCCATAAACCGATCAAAGAAATCTTGTGCTAAATAAAAAGTTTCTCTATGAAGCTTGTAGACTTCACAAACCTGGAGAGACATCAGAGATTACAAAGGTCAAGAACAGTGTTATAGAGCCAAAAACAGATGCTACAGATGTATAAAAAAAAAAACAACCCCAAGAGCTAGACATAAAATTCACATTGGCTTTCTGCTTCACTGCTATTGTGAAGCAACATGCTAACTAAGAGCATGAGTTAAACAGTTTCCTTTGACACAAGATGACTGCCACCACAGTTAACTCCCCCCCCCC